TCAACAGATTTTGGCCCACCGAGTCCAATAATATTATATCCGGATGCTCCTCTTTTGCACTTTAATCTCTTTGTTTTGCGGTAATGTATTCGGAAACACAAGTTATGAGTTTCACAGATATAAAATATCTGATCATAATAACTGTAATAGTGGGGATTTCTCTGTTGCAGATATACATCACTGAAGTCACATTACCCTGTACCATTTAGCCCCCTTAGTTCTATATGGTTCAGTAGGCATGACCTATACACAGAAATAACAGCTTTCCCCCCACATGGTGGTCAGATTCAGCCTTGCACCTGCGTATGTGCGCATGTGCATTAGTATGTGAAGAGGCACCTTTTTCTTCCTCCCTCTTCCTTTTTTGCTGTGACCCAGTGTAGGTCTGTAACCCAGGGACACAGGGTAACTGTACCGGCATTAAAATAGCAAACAGGAGGAACAGAGCATGTTATGAGATTCACTAGTTTCACGTCTCCCTGGGTTATACTATAAATAGCCTCTCACACTGGAATAGAGTTTTCCCCAGCGATGCGGACGAAAGCCAGAGGAACAGCTGCGCTTAAGCCAAGTCCTGTTAGATCAGCGCAGTCACATGGGCATGTTTCTGTCTCTCTCTCCTGTCTTTTCTTCCTGTCTTGCTCTCCGTCTCTGGTCCCACACTCTCACTTCCCATTTTTCTTGTTGCTAATCTGTCCTGCTGTCTGTCTTTTACCTAGTTGTTTATCTCGCTGTCTTGCAGTATCTTTGTCTCTCTGTCACTGTCTTCCCCCTCTCTGTCTGTCTGTCCTGTGTTTCCTGTCTCTCTTGATGTCTTGTAATTTGTGTCTCTCTGTCATTATCTCTGCCTCCCTTGCTTTATTGTTCTGTCATTCTATCTTCTTTCCTCCCTCTGACTTTTTGGTTGAGTGGGTGTCCTTCTTTGTCCCTCATAGTCTCTGTCTCTTTGTCCCTGTCCTGTATTCTCACTCTGTCAGTCCCTCTCTTTGCCTTTTTTTTCCCTGTGTCATGTTTTGATCTGTCTTTTCTTTTTCTCATTATTACCAGGCCTCCCCTGTGTACTCTGTTAATTGGTACAATCCTAATATTAACAGTGTTCATCTGTCTTGTTATAAAAAGATTTCTTAAAGAAGGAAGATGAACTACATACATTTTTAAAATAGAAATTTTAGCACACATTACATCAACAGTTTTCATATGAATGACTCTATAGTGTCTATAATATTGTTAAAGAATAGAATGAAACCTAAAATCTTGTCAATGCTGTATGGCATTGCCTATATCACATTTTTATTTTTAACAGCAGGTATTTAATAGTACAGCAAACACTCCTTGGGCAGCTACTTTGTGAGAAACACGAGAAAAGAGCAACTAGTGCTTCTGTTTACAACAAAACCAAACGAATGCATGTTATTTTAACGAAGAAGTCCATCAATAGTGATTGTAACCATGATCTAATTTCATGTTGTGCAGTTTGCAACAGCAGGACACGGTAAAGTTGTTTACCTCGCTGAGGAGTTTGACGTGTTCAGTCTGTTGCCTGTAACTCTTCATCTTCATCATTTTTGTTTGATTACTCCCTGCAATATTTAAAACTGATCAACTGACAAACAATGCTGAAAATGGCCGTTATTTGGTTTTGTAGAAACATTTTTGATGAACAATTGTTGTTGGTGCTAATCTTAGTGACAAATACATACACACAACCCAATACATGGGATTAAATCTGACCTGTGGCCCTTTGCTGCGTATCATCCCCCAGGCTCTCCAGCTTTCCTGTCCATCTCGAGCTGTCGTATCAAATAAAGGCAAAAAGACCCAAAAAAGGGGTTTGATTTTATGAAAATATTAGGGATTGTAACTTTAAATACAAAAACACAAAACATAAAAAAATAAAAATAAATAAAAACTTAATGCTGACAGTGTGTTGGAGTCCAATGCATTCTATGGCATGACTTCATTCTTCTATGTATACTTTGACATGTATATATCTAAAAATGTTTGTTATAAATACATTTATAGAGTCCTGCTACTCCCTCTCCTCCTCTCTGTCTTTGCTTGTCTCCCTCTCAGTTTGACATCACAGGTGTGTATATATAGCCAGCAGATGGATTCTCCCATGACAGGCTGCTTCAGTGGCTCTCTCTCCCTCGGCTTAGGCCCACCGTCGGCCACTCAAATGAACTAGAAGCAATTCCTTGTTTACATTGTCTCTTCTGATCTGCCCAACCATCAGTTTATGACTGCATCCATTATTCATGTGTTTCCCTCCACCACACACATGCTCACATGCACACAGTAAAACATCACTGCTGCTGAATGTGTTCTCATAGCCTCCATGTTCAGGTGTGTACCAGTGAGAGCTGCTATTCCCAGATCATTCATGTAGGTCTACAAACATCATCTGAAAACTAATGCAAAAATAATAAAATCAAAATCGTATTTATATTTTGAACAACCCATGTCTAACTATGTTAGTCTATGTTATTTGTCTTTAATAAAAAAACAAAAACTAATTCATGAAGACGTTTGATGTTGACGCAGCACTAGCAAACCTCAGTCAGTTAGCAGTATTTACCACAAAGTTGCTGCGGCAGGACTTATGTCGGAAGGCATTTATGGCATACCTGAAAACAAACTTAGTAGGAACAGTAGCAAGAACAGCTAGAAACAGGCAGTGCTACTGTGAGACATGACTTGCGTGACATACAGTAGTTCTAGTGGGATGTGGTGTGTTCCCACTGTGGTATATGTGTGTGGAGTGTGAGGTTGGTGGGGCCCTCTGGCTAAGAAGTAACTTCTGAGCACAGACTAGCACATACTATGCCACCACAACATGCCTGAAATGCTATCGAGCAGGCAGACAGCCAATCAGAGTGAAACCTTAGACATCCCTGTGCATGGTGACCCGCATGCACACACACTTTGCTAAGTATTTGGAGCATGTGACAGGCGGGACGCATGCTGACTACATAGTCGAGGGAGTACTGAAGAAGTATGGACAGGGTGGTTGGTGGTTGGGAGTTTAAGAGAAGACAAAATCAATCAGCTTGCTTATTTGGTTAGATATATATAGTTAAGTATTTCGTGATTTGAAATATTCCAAAATTTCAGAAGGTCAGTCAGCTTCCAGTAATGGTAGCTGTCATTTATAATCAGGTACTGATTTAGTGTGACTTTCAAGACAAAACTAAATGCCTCAAATCGCACTCATGATGGGTACTGTAAAAGTTTGTGAGTCTCCTAACACTAAGCTATTTAATGAGTATATGAAGTATAAGTAACTGAATTATCCACTGCAGTACTGAGAGGCCCAACGGCAGGAGCAGATAATGATCTTATGACTAAGTCAGGCTTTTTTAGGGCCAGTTTATTGGCATTGTTATGGGGTTGGAATCAAATTAGGAAAATGGCAGCTGTGTCCATGCCATATCATTATGAAATGTAATCCAATTTGACCACACAATCCTCTTGAAATGGACAGAGCACTCTCTTGGGCTCATCTGTAATAGCACTGCTCTTTAGCACTGCAGAAAAACTCAAGTTGCAGTCTGGTTTGTTTTTGTGTTTTGCATGTGGGCACACATACAATATTGGTCACCCCAGTGGTTGCTCGGTCTTTGGTTGCATCTCTTTATTGTCCCTAACTGTCCCTGGAACGGAATGTGTTGGGTGTAACAACAAAAAACAAACTTGCTGTGAATGCAAATCTTTTTTTATTTACGTCATCATCTTTGGATGTTATGGGGTCATCCAAACCAAAATGTTGCAGTACTGGAAACCAAATTTCACTTTGTTGACATAGCACATAATCTGTTTTGATGGCTACTTGTCGGCTGTCACTGTGAGGAGGGACATTGTAAAGGGCTGCATGTATACCCTGCAGTAATACGAGCCTGACTCTTTGGAAAGGAGCAATGGGCCGCCATCAAGAGGGTTGAAAGTTATTGCAATTCCAGGGATTCTCAGTGGACGCCATTTGCTGGGCCTAACCCCATGGTTTTATGAGGCAGAGTGTGACACACACAAAACTTTACTCTGTGTCTTTGGGCATGTGTGTGTAATGCATAAACATTTTGGAATTTGATGCCTCAGAGGCTGTAAAACACAGTGAAATCTACTCATTCCCCATTTCTACCAGAAGGATAGTAAAGCTGAGTGCCTGCTTGTGTCAAATCAGGAGTGAATGGCTGGAGAGGAACAGCTGCATGCAGTGACTGTGCCAAGGAAAGCATGTCAATGAACTGCCATGCAACTGTGCTCACTCAGTCGGACACAAGAAGGAACATTCAAAGGCCTGCATGAGAGCAAGAGTCTTAGTCTCTCTACCCGGAGGAACAATTAACTTAAAGAGCCATATGTGCAATCGGCAAGGGTGACTACACATACATTCTGTCATTATCTAACACACATGCACTGAAACGTATTCAGACACACATATTTAACATATAGCAGATGGATGCCATAATGGCGTGATGGCTGTATTTGCAGTTCTGTTTTTTTTTTTTTTTTTGCCCTCAGAGGTTGTAGCTTGTCATGAATGTGGATATCTTGCGCCCGGGACACATTCTACCTCTACCTGCTGGTGACCTTGCTGAACTGCATTTAAAAAAAAATGTCTGTGACATATTCTACAGATGATAGATGTAGACATTGAAACTGTAGTGACACACTGAATCTCTATATGACGCCGGGCTCCTCACATGGACTTTTTAAGTGCTCTAACCTGTTAACATGGATGCTGTCTGTGACATAACAAGGATATTGTTTTGCACCATGTGCTGATAGAGAATTTTTTATTCAACACACTTTGGTTTTCCTAGGGGTCTTGATGCCTGCCCATGTTTTTTTTTTTTTTTTGCTGTTCCTCACTTTTAAATGTCATTTTAAGTTTGTGCCTTTTAATTCTCCCCTAGTTTCTCCTCATCCCTAAAGCAGGCCATGTTCCCTTTTTTTTATATTTAATATGCTCCATTTCAGATTATTATTTTTTCTTTCAGGAGGCTCAGAAGGTGAACAACCCCGCCAACAATCAGGCAGCAGACAGACCAAAGGGTGCTGATGAGAAGACGGAAGAGGTCCCAGCCAGCGAGGTGGGATGGATGACTTCAGTCAAAGACTGGGCCGGTGTGATGATCTCCGCTCAGACACTCACTGGCAGAGTCCTGGTAGGTTTTCCTTGGATACAAATGTCTCAATTCCCAAATTCAAACTCAATTCCATCAGCACTTTTTTGACACTAATCATTTGCTCAACCCACAATTTATAAGTGCTTTAGTTTGGTCTTTCAGCAGGCAAGCAGATTGCAACTGGTTTTCACACCCAAGTTGGCTTCCAGATTAATCCACTGTATAATCCACTGCCATGTACACATTTACTCACCTGTTTCATACAGGTCCCACTGGAGACATACTGTAGTGCAATTAATTTGATCCCCACAGATGTTAGCGGATACTCAGTCCTCGCTGAATCTCAGTTGGCTATTTGGCTGGCACTGTCCAGCCTCCTTTCTGCTGCAATAGCCTATGTGTGGCACGCTGTAACTCTCTGCTGTGCCTCAGCCAGCTGAACCGATGAGAGTGTGTGTGTGTATTTGTGTAGGTGGGTGTGCGCACACATGCTTGTGTGTGTGTCAGGGGGAGATTTATTTGTCAAGTACGAGAGGTAGCATATGTGGTGTTTGTGCAGTAGGTAAGAGGCTGTCACTGTGGCTTTTCTCTTGGTATGAATTACAGTCCCTCTCCCTTGCTGACCCTCCTTACTTTAGCTTCATCCCTCACTCTGCCCCCAGCACTCGATAACTCTTTGCCAAAATCCTGGTATATCTGCAATGTTATCTCCTCTGTACTGTGCTGCTTCATTATTAAAATTAAAAACTGCCTTTCTATCAGCAGTATTTCTCATGTTCTCCTCTGAATTTAGCAAGATGTCTGCCACTTAGCTCCACTGAACGGCAGACAGTTAGCTATGAGGATCGTGCTGCCTATAACTGCTACCCTGGCTTGATTGTGAAAAGACTTCACAATGTCTCGTTAGAGCTAGGGCCCATTCAAGGTAAACCTCATTATTTCCATGCTGGATAAAATGCACTAGAGTGAAATGACCCTGACATTATCTTTTCTGTCAGTTTTGGTGACTTTCTCATTGCAGTACCATATTGAGGGTGTCTGTATCAGCTGCTCTTTAACAGCAACTTTTTACTTTTATAACAGACATTAGGGGGTGGTTTGCGCAAGAAGATGCATAGAGTGTTCTTACGGTGTGTGTATATTTGTACATTGCGTAAGTGTACCTGTCACCTTTGTAGATAAAAAAAATTTAAATCTTTTTTTATCTATTCTTAACAGTAGTGTAGCTTTCCTTTCACACCTTAACTTGCAACAGAGCATCAACATTGCTATGTCTGTCTTGCACATCAACTGTGCATCTGTAGACTGAATGAAGCAGCAGTGGGAGTCAGGAGTGAGATGCATCCAAACTAAAATACTAACACTGTCATTGTTAATGTTTGCTGGAATGTGACAGTTTCTTCACGCCTGGTGAGAGTAGCCGGGAGTTGAGAAGGATTCAGGCCTTTCATGGTGAAGAAGATGAAGAATCCTGAAGGGAGCTGTCAATTTACTAAATGAGCCTCTCTTTCATCACTTCCCCACTCACACAGCTCCGCTGGCATGGGCACAGCTCCCTCTTGCTTTCATCTTCTGCTCTGACTGAGCGCTTCCAATCTGCCCTGTATGTATGTATGCATGTGTGTGCGTGAGAGCGTGAGAGCGAGAGAGAGAGAGGGAGAGAGAGAGAGAGAGAGAGAGAGAGAGAGAGAGCACGCAAAGAAACCTAGAGACAGACACACCAACAGAGAGACAGACAGGCAGATGGAGAGTAAAACAGCGTGTTTGTGAGAGTTGGTGAGAAATAAGCCACTGGTTGCTTTAAAGGGGTTTCTAGGCATAGAGATTTCCCGGTGTATCACCTACTGTGATTTGTGCTACTTCTGGTGGGACTGATAATTCTGCTCAGCAGGCTATGTTTGCTTACGTGCTCAGTCTAATGATATGCAGCACAATATGTACTGATGAGGAGTGCTCCATGTAGGTGAATGAGTATCTCCTCACGTGGGTGGAATGCGTACATTTGTGAATGCATATTTGCTCGCATTTCTCCATATATATAGTACATGCATGAAAGCTTGTGTATTTAAGTAAGCTTGCATGTATGTATATGTGTGTGTGTGTGTGTGTTTGTATGTGTGGGTGAGTGATTTTATGGGACTCTTGCTCTCCCATCGGTGCTTCACTGCAGATCAAAATTGCGGTGAGTATCCGTGTACACAGAACCTGGCTAGTAACCATAGCAACTGCTGTGTAGTGGCGCTCAGTCATCTGACATTAGGGGGGTGTCTGCCTGGGCAGAGCAGAGCAGAAATAACACACACACACACACACATACACACACACACACACAGGTGGGATTAAAGCTTGATGCAGCCTCCATTCTATCCAGGTAGAATATCCAAAGCCAAAGCAGATTGAGACAGATAGCCGCTGGTAGGCAGCCCTCCATGCCCGTTCATTTGTTTGCCTTGATGACTTCACTGCTAGTGAAAGATCAAATATACCCCCAGGCTTATTGAATTACCAGACAAATCTAAATCCACCCATGGCAGCAGCTTGGCCCAGGAGTCCCCCATATTGTTTCCCCATGCTGGGCTGAATTACTGGCATGCGAAGAACAAGGCCTGTTTTGTTATTGGTGCCTAATGTGACTTTGCCAAACTACTTTGCTCTGATGAGAAAGGAATTAAATGCATTCATATCCACCTACGCTGCACAAGCATTACGACCAGACATGTGCTGCATGAGAATCATTCTGGTCCTGTTTTAAAGAAGTCCCATTGCACTGAGACATAGGCTGCAAAGGCAGAAAGCTATTATGGCTCATGGCATTGCTCAGACCATGTAATAACAATAAATAAAGAGCAGCAGGTGCACACAGGCGGTTGTGTGCATGTGTGTAAGTGAGAATTTATGTGTACATATTGTGCCATATGTGGGGCTGATAATAGGTTGTTTCCCCAGAATGGTCATATGTCAAAGTCCCCTGTCTTTGTGTGATCACAGCCTCTGTCATCTACATGCATGAGCCCTTACCAACCCCCATCACACACACACAGCCATATCTCTAGTTTCGATTAGACTCCATGTCACCTTATGTGCCTTATAAAATACCTGGGGAAATGATTGATGCTAGCATGAGCCAATGTTACTCATCTGTGTGGGTTGTGTGCTTTTTGTAACACCCATCACCTTTACAATATCAGCTTGTCAAATATTAATCATTCACACACAATTTGCCTCCAGTGTAGTTTTCAGTTGACAGTAACCTCAGGGTCAAACGATAAAACATGATGGGAAATTAACTTAAACATAATAGAACACAATCCACTGCTGGTAATGCACTCACACAAAATGAGAAGGATAAAAAAAGCAATTTTCTAACAATTTTAAAATATTTTGGAAGAACTGTTTGGAAATTGATTGGGAGATGAAAAAGTCGGCTGTGGGGACTTATGCAGAGCAGGAAGCAACTAAGCGACTAAGTGCCAGCTGCAGCTTAAGGAGGAAGTATCTCTCTTAGCCCCACGAGACAGCTGTCGACACAAAGGCACTGCATGTGGAATATAGGTGAAAGGCAGAGAACCTCTGGTCCGACAGTGGATGGCTCATCAGTCTCTTGACAACCGTATCACCCCAGTTGCTTTGTAGAAAGACCTCATTAAGCGCTCAAGGGCACAATGTCCGAGGAAATGACTAGTTGGACTGCCGGAAATATGAGTTGGCTGAATTATTTTGCTGCATTACCACAGAGTCCCATCCAATTGATTCCTGCATTACTGCAACATTAACAACGTATGTAATCCCATAATGTCCAACAAAAACAGCGAGGATTATAACCTTTGAATGTAGATATTTGTCCTATCTATCTGTGCAGTAGATTTGCACGGCATGATGGGTCCAGAAGGTCAGCCCTGCCATCTTTCTTAATGGGATCTTGGGTGGCAACCAGGGACCATCTGTTCACATGGCCCGCTCCCTAAACCCTATGGTCATCCCTCTGCCTACCCATCCACCCACACACACACTGCGTGGCACTCTGCATATTGACCCCTGTCAGCTGCAAATACAACACATCTGTCTCTCTCTGCAGTACAGTGACGGCACATGAATTCTAACTGCAATTGTAACAAATCCAGCCCACTTTATTTAAAAAAAAAAAAAAAAAAAAAAAAGCAGTAGAGCCTTTGACATGAAGCACACACAGGCTTCCTCCATTTGTAAACTTACACCTGTGATTGCCCCTCTCTTATTTCATTATCTCCAATTAGCTTATGTGAGAACATTTACTTACAGTGTGTGTGTGTGTGTGTGTGTGTGTGTGTGTGTGTGTGTGTGTGTGTGTGTGTGTGTGTGTGTGTGTGTGTTGTTAAGAAACAAGGTGAGATTGTGCAAAGTATGTAAGGACACTGTGGGCACATTCCACTGTTTCCATGTGTCCTGAAACATCCTGTTGTGGAGAAAATAAGTGTGAATGTGCTCTCTCGCACCCACTGTGATTGCCTTCCTGCCTGCCCCGGAGAACAGCTGTCATTCACGGTGTTCTACTTTTCAGTACTTTTCATGTTAGTGCAGCATGTGTTCACCCCTATATATACATACATTTTTGTACTGGCAGTCCTTTGGGCTTGCATAAGCAGATTTGTGTTTTTTTTTACAGCAGCCATTGGGTACTGCCAGAGTCTGTTTGCATCCCTGAGACTAACCATCAACGTATGTGCGTGCGTCTGATGTGTGTTTGCCTCAGTAGATACAGTATATTTCTCCGTGCTGTGTGTGTATGTGCTTGCACAAGTGGGTTGTTCTCATGTGCATGAATGTGTAAATGCATGTCTCTGTGTGTCTGTTTGGGCTGGCTAATTACGCTTTCCTGTTGAGTGTGTGGAACTAATTTATTGCTGTCTGTAAACTCCTCAGCAGGGATACAGCTGTCAACACAGCACCATCTCCTGCATCGCACTCCACCCTGACAATAGCCTATTCCCTTGCACAAAAGTAACAGGCAACATATGTCTCTTCATATACATTCAGTAGGATAAGGTATATTGCATGATTGCGAAGAGTGATGATTTTACTACACAATATTTTAGCCACCCAGAGGCTAAATGAGGAATCTGTACAACAAACACATCCACCCACTCACATACCAGCACATATGCAAGTTCAACTTGAACTAGGACTGGGTACTATATGTCTGAAATCATTATCACAATACTAATAAAATAAAATATGAATAATCCAATCAAACTGATGTTCAAAACAGTGAACTGTGTCAGTATCTAATTTTGTTAATTTAAACAGTTTCAAATTGTTTTCAGTTCAAATCAAATTGTCATGATATGATTGTATGATTCTTCTATTGAATTATTGTCCACCCTGGACACAGATACACACACATACATGCACACAAACACGCTCAGTTCCAATAGCATCTGTCAAAAGTAACTGTCTAAGAAAGCGTCTGTCATGTTGATGTGAGAAATAAACAATCAATAGCTGCAGAGACCATCTCTCCAGGAATCGTCACACGCTTCGCAACCCAATTTCTCTTTAAATTAATAGCAGTGGACACAGATAAATCTATCAATTTTTCACCTCTCTGTTCAGCATTCGGTGACATGACACTTTGCTCCAGCAGTGTGCTCCTCCATAATGAAACTCAATTTCTGAGCCAGTTTGCTCCTGTTCCCTGAACTCAAACTTGGTGCCCTCTGAAACCTCCTGTCTCCTTCCCTCCCTCCCATTTTTCCCAGTTGTTGATTTTAGCTAACCACGCAGGTTATTCATGTTGTCTTTTGCCATAATTTATCAGTTCAGTCGATGGCAATCCAATTGGCATCGACTTAAATCCTCTGAACCTTGATGAATGGCTGTTTATGCTGGAGGGACCACAGGGGACAAGCACTGCAGCAGAGAGAGTGAGATGGAGGGAGCAGAAGGAGAGAGAGATGGGTGTGGTGCCAGCTCAAGTCTCTTATACACATGGCTTCACATGTAGGAATACAATAATTAACAACAACAAGTAGGGCCCTTTGAGGATAAGGGATTAACAAAACATTTATTGTAATTAGGCTAAATAATTTCTTTCAAATCATGAAATAAAGATATTCAGTCAGAATGGCAACAGAGGTTAGTTACTGTGAGTGAGGGTGTGGCCCTCAATATAAATATTTCTTGGCAATGATTTAGTCGGTAGCCGGTCGGTCCACCACACTGGTCCAGACTTAAAAATCTCCACTACTGGATGGATTGCTTTGATAGTTAATACGGACTTTCATGGTCCCCAGAAGATTGATTCTAATAACTTTGGTGATCCTCTGTGTCAGCAGGTCAATTTATTTACAATACTTCAGCTCATGACCGAAAAGTACCTGAAAAACTAATAACTTTCCCATCAGCCTTGTGTTTAGTGCTAATTAGCAAATGTTATCATGCTAAACTAAAATGGTGAACATGTCAAACATAATATTTGCTAATAATATCAAAGCAACACTGTCTTTTTCTTCTTTGCAGTATGTGTCAAGCTATAAAAGGTTAAGAGGTTGTGTTAATTTGAGCTTAATTCTCATGGTTAGAGCAAAGTATAAAAACACTTATGTGTTTAAGACTACGAGTATTTTGTAGATGTCATATCGTAACTATGTCAAGTATACCAAATATGTATGTATGTTCAAGTATGGACCATTTTATGTAATGATAACTGTTTGTTTATATGATTTTATTGGTTTCAGTCATTGATTTAGTGCTACATGTCATTGGATTTAGTTGCAGTTCCGAATGTATTAGCATACCACAGCCACAGGTCAGCTGTGTGAAGGCAGACCTGCTGGCTTGGTTTTTCTGGGCCGCCGCCACATAAGAAACATAAGTCGTGCACTGAGCATTGGAGGAGTTTAGTGGGAGGAGGAGAGGGAAAGCAGGATGTCATGGGAGGAAAGAAAAGCAACAGGGAGCCCTGCCATCATGCCGCATCGTTTCAGCTGGTAGAAATTCATACGCTGCGTTCACACTTAGCAAGCAGACATAGTGCTGCACATCTGAGCATGCATATATAAATACAGGCACAGTGTACTGGATTATATTATCCAGAAAACATTCCATTTCAAATTCTGTCAAGAATAGAAGAAGGGTGCTGAGTGTGTGAAACAACTAGAGTTACAGCTAGAGTTCCTGAGAAGTAAGATAAACTGGAAAAGGTGGATTCAAATAATTGAATTTGAAATATGTACCAGGGCAAAAATAGTAACAGATAACACCATGGTGTAGTTATAGTTGTTGAATTTCTTCCTTTGTTTCATTTAAATGATCAGCATTAAATTTCCAGCACACTAGAAGAGTTACAACTCTGAAATGTTTGATCTCACTTTGTCCTCATAAATGATTTTCCCTGCAGCCCCTCTTAAGGCCCTTCATAACTCTGTTCTGCAGGATGACTTATCCTTTCTTGTTCCATTAACCCATCAATTTGCCACCTCGGCCTCTATTGCTAAAGAGGCAATGACCTATGCCCATCTTCTTTTGCTGCAGCCCCTGTGCCCTTTGTCTGTCCCACCCTCCCTCAAACTCCCTCCCGAATAGGTCAAGAGAGCAGACGCAGGAGTGATGTTTCACTTAGCTGGCTACCCAACCTTCTCCTTATTAGATCAAAGTCACCTGTGACTTACAAGGCAATGTGAGACACTGTGGCGACAGTACGTGTTCATTTGTTTCCCTTAGTCTGGGCCCGGAGAAGACTTAGCACATTCATTCTAAAAATATTCACAAATCAAATCATGCCCTGTTATTGAAATGTATGAAGTAAAACACGTGTGTTGTATTTCATAATTTGCTTCACAAAGCTATTGTTTGTAAGAACTGCTTTGGTGGTGTTGCCCTTTGAGTGTGTCAAAGGAAATCCAAAATCACTTAACTAATTACAACAAATATATTATAAATTTCAAACAAGTAGTGCATGCTATTAGATAATTAAAATATTGCCTTCCTTGAGCCACAGCAAGTGACTGCCGTAATGATATTCTGTTAACTTTTTTAGTATATGATTATTTATGCTCTGCTGAATCCTCAGGCCGAGGAGTGACAGGATAGTCAGAAATGAGATTACATTTAGAGTCACAAGTGCAGGAGACTGCAGGCTAGAGACAGACAGACAGATTGACAGATAGGCACACAGTCACAGAGCAAACAGTCGACAGGCAAATAGGCAAACGGACAGGCAGAAAAGTGCTTGCAGACAGAGAGAGACCTGAGCAGGCAGTCGCAGAGGATGCAGACATTTTCATGTTTGTCATTTGGAGCCCCCTGTCACCTCCAAGACAGCGCTCTCCCTGTCTCATCTTTGTCATGGCTGCCTGGTATGGTCGTGGAAAGGAGTGCTGAGTGACTCAGTGCCTCTGGGATGACGCACACCTAATGGATCAGAACTTGCAGCATCACATTGATCCAACCGCATCTAACACCGCTGTCACCACCAGGAACATTTCTTCAAAGCTTTCCAAAAATAGGATTAGGGACAAGATTAGCAAAGAATGAGAATTCCTTTGGTTGCAATACTGCTGATTAAACAAGTGTTTTCTTTTATTTTCCCACTAGCGCAGAAGTGCATCATTGTGGAGCGAAAAGAAGGATCACCACCTGATTTCAGGAGGTCCTTATTCTTCAATAACTGCTAACAAAATGCTGTCTGTCTGTGGCTTGTAAACTGCCTACCAGTGCAAGTTTACATTGTGTGTCAGTGACCTTACCTTCTCATCTGTCAGTCAAATTTGTTCATTGGCTCATATATATTTCATTCTTCAAGGCGAAAAGAGCATTTCTGACATATGCCCCAAGACCTTTATTTCCCCATGACATGATTTTGACTGCAAAAAGGGAAGACTATTTGTGATTTCAGTCAGAGTTTTCTGAGTACAAGCAAAAGATAAATCAGTATCAGATACTAAATGATGGTAAACTGACCTGGAGGTTCCTGGAGGAAGAAACTGAATATCTCACAGCTCCATACTGTAGGTGTTGCTCTCTAACTCACTTTCTGCTCTGAACTCCCTGGAGCGGGCTACGCATTAAGAGAATTTCCCAGAGGGGATTGATGAAGTATCAGATTATTAACATTAAATATTTTTTTAGTGCAGGCTTTATATGCTGCATGTCAATTGCTCTCTGATGCAGGAACTGCCTCCTCTTCTCAGTCTGTTTCACCATCTATACATCAGCAGGTCTGAGTCACACAGAGAGAGGTAGTGTGGGAGTGAAAGGATCATTGGAGATGGGGCTGACTGCATCCCTACCTCTGCTTTATAGGGTGGACAGGTTATTATTGCAGCAACATCAGTGGTGGGAGATAGATATGGTTCTACTCCTCCTAAAGCTGACCTAAGAGCCAACAAAAAGCAACTGTCACATAATGTTTTATATTGACAGGAAACACCTCCCTTCTGTGCTTTTGCAGAGCCTCAGAAGGTGAATGATTGAGTGCCAGCTTTCTGTGTATAGGCATTACTGTATTATATGCTGCGTATTTCAATCTTTTTTGACCGTCCTGTGACTCCTGTGACAGGATCAGACCCGGTCGTAGATATGGTCTCGGGTTCGTTCTGAATATGCTGTTGTCACTCGTGTCATGTTTGCGCTTCTAATTGCTTATCAGAGGAGTCAGCACCATGGGGACCATCTGCTAAGCCAGGTTTCAGATCCGTTTACCCCCACTGGGATTCTGTTTCCTGGGAAGGGACAACCACACAGTGTCCCTAAAACACATCACCTCCACCAGCCCGCCGCTCACTGCTCACAGTTTCCATGAGATCATTAGGGGACAATCGCAGGTGATGTAAGAGGCACAAGGAGGAAGCGAGGGAGAGAGGTTATTGTATGAGAGGACAGGTGAAAGTGAGATGTAGCGAGAAATGGACCAGGAAAAAATAAGAGCAAGAGGAAAATTTATGTTTTAGAATTGATCGGTTTATAGATTTTTACAGTTTTTAGTGGCTAAAATGCATATTTGCAGCTGTTATTTTCAAGTGATTTGGTTTCTGGATGCCAAATATTTTTTTATACATTTCTTTGTCAGACAAATTTTCTTATAAGGTTTTGCTTGTGTGTAAATCAGAGAAGTGGAGACATTTTTTGGCTTTGTTACTGAGGCTGTCTCATATTAGAAGCCATGGCAAGGTGCTAATTAAATGGTTTGTAGGTCTGTCTCTGCCTCCGGCCCTAAATTGCATCAGTATTGACTTCAAAGCCTCAATGCATCAAAGAAGGACCAGAAGCAGTACGACTTTGCTCCCTTCCTTCTCCCTCTCCTCTCCTCTGTCACCAGAGGAGTCAGTGAAGTCCTATTTTCTCATCAGCACATCATCCTGCATGCAAGGACACAGCTGCATTTGACCACATGCATAAAAGTATGTGCTTGCAGGAGTAATGTGTAGGCTACCGAATGTAGGCTATATGAGTGCATGTGTGTTCGTTTCGATTATTATTGGATATGAACTTGGCTGTTCTTAAAAGTTGGGGTCAGGCACAATAAACATTAAGGTAAGGGACAAATTATCCTTCAGGTTAAATCAATACCAATGAATAAAAAATGGCTTGACTGGTAAACAGCTGCAACCTCTACCACACGTTAGCTCATGAAGCTCTTAAATCAAATAAATAATTTCTGCACTGCAACATATTCATTTTTTGTCCGTTTCTACCCTTTACTTTAGCGTCTTTTGAAATAATCCCATTGATAGAGTGCCTGTAAATCAGAAGCCGGGGAGAGCTCCATCATGGGGCTACTTAGATGATGGAGGAAGGAAAGCATAAAACTCACTCTGACAGAGGGGCTAAAGGGCCAGACCATCATAGTCTCTGAAGACTGAATGATGTCTTGGTTTTGTGATCCCCTTTTATTACTTTGCTGCAGCTGTATGTGTCTCTCTGGCACATTGCATTCACAGTTATTCCCACAAGTGGCACATCACCGTGGCAACATCACATCTCTTATTCACAGGAATAAGCTTTGTGCCCTCTGTCTGTCTCTGTTTTTGTTTCTCTCTCTCCACAATCCCTGTGTGCTTCCATTCTTCATATCCACTTTTTCAATGAGGTTGAAGGGCCAGTTCACTCAAATTATAGATTAGTTTGGGTTTTGTGCTGGGGTGGTGGAGACAGATCTTCTCAAGTTCTAAACAAAATCCAAACTATCTGAGTGATAAATATGTTTTTATTCATTTGAGACTAAGTATCAGTCATTTCCTACCCCTGGTTTCTTTGAAGTATGACCACAATCGTTCTCAAACTGTAACCAAGTGGTGATGACAGAAGTTCTCCTGACCGTAACCAGGTAGTTGTTTTTATCCAAACTGGTCTTTCTTTAAACCTTACCAAGTCTTAACTACATCGCTGTCATAAAACAGTTTTATTTACAACAGTGTTTATATGGCATCAGATCAGAAAAGTTATTGTGGAGGGCATGGACCAACAAAGTATATTGTAGTTTAATTTGGGCGAACCAACACTTACTGTTCTTGAACCCTTTTGATGGTCCCAGTTTCTTCTGAAAGGTGACTCTTTGTAGGTTATAATTAAAAAATCAGAATTAGTCTAAATTATATTGAACCAATTAACCGGGCACAAACTACATAAAAATATAAGATATCTCTCCTCCTGTTACTATTATCATTTTTTGCTCTTCTGCTTTGTATGCACTTCTGTTATGTAATAAGAAACTGTTGCCGCAGTGATATTGGGATCTTATTGGACTTATTTGCAGAGAAAGATTCATGAGGTTTATGCTTTTGAATTATGTAGAGTTTGTCAAGGATGACTGAGGATTCAACCATATACCAAAACCTGGTCCTTACTCAGGCTGCTTCTTGTTTAAGTCAGACGGAAAAAAAGTGAAAACTGGGTGTTGCAGTTATAGTTTCTGTCTGAATTGATGGACACTTGCAACGGCTCTACCCCAAACCCCATTTCAAGTCAGGAATCCGTATATGCAGGTGGTGAGATTTCAGTGTATACAGCAGCTTTATGTGGCACTTTAAATCATGCATCAGAACGACGAAGTGGATTGTATCAGACTTCCGTCGAATATTACACCTATAAAATCCTCAGTCTCATGGGAACAGACTGCCTTCCAGGCAGCAAGCAGCTGAACTTTACACTGACAAGTGTGTTGGATATTGAATATTGATACGGGTGTCAGTGGTAGTCAACAATCAATCAAACCAGCAGACTATCATCAGAGGAAAGGTGAGAGGTGGCTCAGTGTCTTCTTAATAAGGGTCAGGGCTCTGTGAGAAAACACACAAAGGGTTTATTGGCTTGACCTCTTCTGCAGAAGTGTTTTTGGATTAAAAAAGTTATTGAATGATAATATATTTGCTAATTTGTTTGTTTATATGATTATGGAAAAAAGATCTTCAGGACATAGATGTTTAACATTTATAATTGTTTTTAAAATATTACATATAATATAAAATATTTGGTAACAGAGAGTAAAATCCTTGACTTTCTGTCTCTGTTGGAATAGGATTAGCTATCGTTTTGCTTGGGAGACTATTCATTATCTAAAGAATGAATAACTGTATGACTAAAGTAGAATTAATAATATACCCAGGAACAGAAACCAATCGCAAATTACCCTTCTGTTCCTCTCCCCTGTCATATCTCAAATCTACAAAAGCATACTGAGGGCCTGGTAAGTAGTAATGAAATTGAATATAAAATATGTTAGCTTTGTTTTCAATATTATATGAGAGACTTCAGCTCCTGACAGACAACCATTGGATTATTTGGTGAGAGCAACTGCTTTCAGTGTTTACTGTGACACCTTCATCTCTCCTGCTGTTGGGTGAAGGTATTAAAGATGCGTTAAGGTCACTCATGGCAGGTTCCATGCATCCACCCACCTTATTGACTGAGCTGGACAGCTGTGTGTAGGGCTTGATCTAATGTGGCAGAGAGCAAACAGAGGAGAGATACACTGAGATGCTGCTGTTCTCCACTTTACACATAGCCTGCCAACAAACACAGAATACTAATACAGCTTTTCCTTCTCTGCGGATCCTAGTCTCATGTTTCACCTTGCTGCGAGCAAGCTTCCTGCCTTATCAGGACCCACTACATTGTTAGTGAGCGAAAGTGGGCTCTGACGCTGATGATAAACTTCTCATTAACCTTCAGGAAATTAAACGAAACTGTGATTTAATTAGATAAAGATCATGTCACCGCTGCGTCTCCTCCGAGATGAAACCTATGCGCCTGTGGGGGGATCTCTTGGTGATATATAAGGGTGGTTGGAAAGAGAAAACAGGATATGGTGCAGGTATATTGTTTTATCATTCAGATGCTAGTCAAGCCATTTGCTTTATTTGGGGGAGGCTGAAGTTTGTAATTCCATATTTGGCAGGGCTGGGCTGTTCCTCAGGCAGCCAAATGCAGTATGACATTTTTTTGGAGAAGGATGAAAGGTTCTGCTTAATTCTGCAATATGCATCAGACAAAGTAATTGCTCTGCATGCATTGTAATAGAACTGGCCTTGGTGTGGTAAAGTTTTGATATTATTAACTATGGCAGGGATGATTTATGCTATGATTAAAGGCACATAATGGAATTGTGTGGCAGTAACCGGTGCCTGGACAACAGTGTAGTGACCTGAATACATTATGACCTGCAGACCAGATGGAGAATGAGCCCCTTAAAGACAACCTTTTAGTATTCATACAGCAGCCTTTCCTTTTTCCTTATTTTCTTACAGTAGAAAGAGTGGTCATTTTTCATTGTTCTGATGGGATGATAGTGCCAGTTCTGTAAATGTCATGCTGGCCATTGGTGATACATGGCACACTTACATTGCTAACAATATTCAGATTAAAAATCAAGGCATTAAATATAAATAAATATAAATATAAATATGACAAAGTTGTTTACAAATTCCAATAAATTGAGAGATTGAGCTGAGATATATGTGGAATAATACTCATATTTACTATGATTATGGTTATGATTATGACTAATATAGAGTATGAAAGTAAAAATTACAATGTTGAACTTTTAATCGTTGAGACCACCTACTCTTTCTTTTTTTAAACTTCTCTTTCTTGTGCTGTCTATCAAACACTGCATCTACTATTAAACTACATTTATGCAGCTACTCTGTCT